GTCCAGACATGGAATTTAATAGGCTGTAGCAGTTTACTAATCCCTAGTTTTGAGTGTACTAACAAAATATGTGTATTTAACTGAATAATAAATAAGTTAATAAATAAAATAATTTGAATAAAGTATACAAGCTATACTGATACAGACGTCTTCCTTTACTGCTAGGATTATTTTTTTATAGTATAAGGGTGACAAACGAGCGCACAGTGCACCTGATGGTAAGTGGATGCTGTGGCTCGTAGATATCTACATTTATCCTCGATTAAGAATCAAAATGCAGATGCGTTGTACGCCGCTAATTACTAAGATGGAATGCCTCGTTTCCAGTAAAAATGATCTCCGATTCTCTACACTCATCATACGAATCATAGCATCATTAAACTGCCATTTTACGCTGGTATTCTGTGAATGGTTCTAAGCCGGTTGAACTGACCCTTTTATGTTACGAGTTACAACCATAATATAGCCGTAGCTTGGCTTTACCACTTGAAATTGCAATTAACAATTATATTGGTGCTGGCGGGGATCGAAGCATCAAAGCCAGGTTGCTCGCGTACTCAGTCTAGGGTGGATAAACGAACACGTGTTTCCGAGTATCCGCCCTAGGGCGGATTTCTTAGGGTGGATAAACTGAATAACCCCATCCGAAATCCGTGTCGAAAGATGCGCCCGAGGGAAACAAATCAGGAGATGGGTGGCAACGTCTTCTTAATAGTCGTTGTTAGGAAGACATTGTCAAAAAAGCTGCGTTTGCGAACCCGCGTTCGGTCGCGTCCTAGCGCGGCGACTATAGCAAATATCCCCTCTTGACCTGTTAGCTGAAGCACTAAGCGGTTGCTGTAAATATTACATTACAGTACAATACACAATGTATAATTTTTGTCGTTTGCGGAGGGTTTTTAACAAATCCTTATCTCGTTTTCTCGGTACATGGCGACACTAGTTACCACTAGCGCCATCTAGTATCGAGTGGAAGAACTAGGACAGTCAAGACCCTTCTTGAAATTTCCATGGAAGAACTTTCTAGAACCATCGACACTTCCCGACTAACTGGACCGGTGTGTACTTGAATCTCGAATATTCTAGATGTTTCTACAATAGAAGGTTCTGGAATTATATGAGGCCCTATATAAGTCCGGTATAGACCGCGACTCAGGTACTCTGCGCCTTCTTTTTCCCATGGGGGATCGCTCTGCACCCCCTTTTCCACAAGGGGGGTCGCTAACGATACGGCAGGTGGTGTTTAGTGGATAGGCACTCTAAGTCTTATAATGAGTCCCGCAAAACCACCACGCAGTCGACTGCATGGTATGCTTAGAGCATTCACCAACTCCCTCCCCCCGCTTCCCGGAAGGTAACCCTTTACTTTGCTTCTGGGCGCAAAAAAAAAATTCGACCCGGGTCAGTGTTGAATTGGCGATAAAAGCGATTACTTTGAAGCGGTACAACTGCGAACTAAAAGCGATCAGTAGTACAATTGTATTTTGTTATTAGTGTGGCTTTAACTTGTGTAATTAGTGATTTGTAATTTAAGTGTCAATTATGGTTAAATCACTCGGTAGTTTTTAATTGTCTCGAACCCCAAGCTCGTTAATGTTTACAAGTACAATTACGACTTACTTTGGCTTGATAAACCTCGCTGTAAGGTCGAACCTGAAATAAAATTTGTCATTTAAAAATTCTTTATTATTATTATTTTTTTGAGCCTTGGTAACTCAGGGGTTAAGCACTCGCTGTAAATTTGACAGTACTCTAGTAACCCGGGTTCGATCCCGCCGGCACCAATGAAATCGTTAATTGCAATTTGAAGTGCTGAATTACCACGTGCTCGGCGGTGAAGGACAACATCGTGAGGAAACCTGCATGTTTAAAAAATATAAAAAATAAATGTTTTGAAGACAAGTGAAGTCGGGGCAGCGCGGCGGACACTTCCTTGCCCTACCTCTCAGAAATGAGAGGTGGCCTGTACCCAGCTGTGGGACGTATATGTATAGGCTGCAACTTTAACTAATTTATTGATTCATATTCCATGTAGTGACAGTGTAAGAATATCTAGTACATCATTGATAATAACCCCTGGAATGATGAGCTGATCGCTACCAAACTGTTTTATATGCTTCATTCTTATAGTCAACCAAATCTAAGAAATACCTTTTGACGTTTCACATTACCTACCTTTTGACGTTAATCATCCCGCAATAATTTTGCACAAGCGTACTCACACGATTTAAAATAACGTTTTACGTAAATCCGAAGAATTATGAAGTTATCTATATTTCATTACAACGTTTTTGGTTTTTTATCACTTATTTCAATTTGAATTTTTTCAAACAAAGCAAAATATTAAAAAATAACTAGTATTAACTTTTTTTACTTGACGTCGTTTCAATGACATGCCGCTATGTATATTACAGTAGTGTTTCAATTATTAAAATTCATTGTTATGCGAATAATCGGAAAAATATTCAAGTAATCGGTAAAAATATTCTAATAATCGAATCATTAATTTCTTTAATGTTATATTTGTTTAATTTAATTTTTATTTTCAAAATTCCTTAAATTACATGAATCATGAATAAAACAAGTTTATTTTTTTCACTTTGTCAAAGTAAATTTTTGTAGGAAAAAAACTCATATCCATGGGGCCGTGCTAAAATAACCACTACATAATTTCAATATCCCGCCATTTCGGTACCAGTTACTCGACTCCACAGAATCAGTAATTCATTTTTGAGGCGATTTATATGCTTTTATAACAAAATGCCAGAAAATATAGAAAATTTGACGTAAGTACACAAAGTTCAAAAACTTTATTAAACTAACTTTGTATAAAAAGGGTTATTTTAATATTGAGGAATTTATGGAAGATAATAAGCCCTGAGAAGGGTGATTGCTACCAAGCTGGGTATTTCTAATTTGTTTTGTGTTGTTAATTGTTACACGCATGATAGTTTCTTGCTGGTTCTTCTCAGGACAGAGGTTTTTTTGCAAACCAGTGGTAAATGAAAAAAGTGGCTTTCAATAATTATTATTCATAATCTATATTCAATAAAAAATGTTCTGTTTCCGTTTCGGGAGCTTACTGTGTGTAATTTTGTGATTTTGTGTTTGTCTTCTTATTTTGTGACTTGGCTTTAACTTTTTGGACTGTTTCTTCTATAAAAACTTTTTATACGTGGTAGAGCCACGCTACATCTGTATTATAGTAGTAGCACAAATGGGTTGGCTCAACCAAAGCAGGACCACGCTCTCACAGAATACCAGCGTAAAATAGCAGCGTAATTCTGATGTGTTTCATATGGTGAGTGTAGAGAACTGAAGACCCTTTTTACTGGAATCGAGGCATTCCATCTTAGTCTTCAGGCGTGACAACGCATTTGCATTTTGATTCTAAATCGAGGATAAATGTGTATGTCTATGGGCCATAGCATCCACTTACCATCAGGTGGACTGTGTGCTCGTTTGTCATCCAATGCTATAAAAAATTCGTTGAAGCATGTGCCCGTGTCACAAAGGATGACTGGGCAAAAGTGGTAGAAAAAACAAAAAATGATTATGGATGACTTTGGAAGAGACATTAATTTTGAATCAAATAATAATAAATATAAACAACGACATCCCTACTAGTTGTACTGAAAGTGATTGAATAAATTTATTTTTAATCTAGTTTCAATCTTAAGTTTTTATAACTGTGCCTCTAGAAATAAGCAGTAACAACAAATACGGAGAAACTGATAAATCTTGTGTTTCAAATTAACCGTTTTTAATTTATTCAAACCAAACTGTAAATCATTACCAACTCTAAATAATCGATATCGATTTTTTTAAGAATCGAAAATTGTGCGTTCCCATTTTTTGGTTGGCATGCTTGGTGCAATAAGTCTGACAGCTGTCAAAATGTATTTCTTAGATTTGGTTGACTATAATTGTATAAAATAGTAGTTTTTACGCGCGGCTTCGCTCTCGTTCAAGTCGATTTTGCAATCAATTCTAGCTGTCGATCGATACAGAAATCATTAACGAAAAAACTACAAATTTATTTTTTTTCAGGACATTTTCCCCTCCTTTTAGTTTGAAAAAATAAATCTGCAAATCGTGCAATTTCATTGGTGCCGGCGCGGATATTTTTTATTTTTTTTTAAAGAATATTAACAATGCTATAATCATTACTAATATTCCCCCCCCCCCCTTAACCACTCGTGGTAAGCTTGAATTGCTTGTGTTAAGAGTAGTTCACGCCAGTAGTCTAATGGCGGATTCGAACCAACGACCTTTTTGAATTCGCGGTCCGCGCCCTGCTATTAGGCTACTGTCGCTTCAAACCCAAGTTGCTCGCGTACGGCGAGCTTTTAGCACCTGAGAAACAGAATAGTAGGATAACTCTCTCGCCACGCGAGACTTAAATGCCTAATGTTGCAGGGTTGTCACTGTATTTGTTTAACAGCTAGGTCTCATTTAGTTTTATAAGTACACACAAACAATACATACGGAGCTATGCATCATATTTGTTAATACTCGTAATTTCTTTAGTTTCATTTCAAAGAATTAATATATGCAATGCCAAATAACTAAAGTACGAGTAAATTAACACCGAGCATATGGTGTCAGCTCAGATTTAATGTTTAAAATTATATTGATGTGATGTGATAATTAATGTACTTATGAGGTATGTATTTATGTATAGATAATAGAAATATAACCTATTAATAAAAAAAGCTAGTTTACTTAAACACAAACCCATATGTTAATTTATTTTACAAAAAGAAAAAAGAACCGCTAGCAAAATATTATTGATCCCCGACTAGGCCAGATCTTTCCGACTTAGCAAGTGTAGTTGTGTGCGTGCTGTGGCTCGTGCGTACGAGTCCGTACTGTCACGTGGCAGGCACGCACACATATAAGCGGCATTCGGAACATTTCTTAGAAGATAGTCTACTATTTTGCTTTTACTATGCCCTGAGCTACCACGGCTCTTTGAATTTGATGATGATGATGATGAATTAATGAATTACCTTAACCTCCGCGGTGACATACTTATGGTGCAATCCGTCCCCATCGCTGCTGTATCTGAAGTTAAGGATATCGTCGTTTGAACTCTGCTTCATCACCCACTCTATTGAAGTGAGTTTCCTTTCGATGCATAGAGACCTGGATGACGAGTTTCGCTTTTATAAGGTTTTAAAAGGATTAGCATAAACTAGCAGGAGCACTTGTTTATTTGACGCTGCATCACACTATACATAATAACTGATGAACCCCTTCAGTTGTAGTCATCATCACCATCATCATTACAGCTCTTCACAAGTCCACTGCTGAACATAGGCCTCCCCCAAGAAATGCCACAAAGCACGGTCCTGAGCCACCTGCATCCATCGACTTCCTGCATGTCTTACCAGGCCTACCGGTTTACTATTAGTCGGTACGAGGTTGCCACTCGAGAACCTTTCGTCCCCAACGGTTATCGGTTCTTCGAGCTATATGGCCGGCCCATTGCCACTTCAGCTTACTAATCCGTTGGGCTATGTCGGTCACTCTGGTTTTACTGCGGATATCCTCATTTCATTAATTCCATCCTCCCTGCCGTTTTAAAGGTGCTGGAGAGTTTGTTTGAATTTTAATCTTCTTTTTTGCTAGTTCCTCCAAGGAAGGAGGTTATACCCGAACCAGTAGTAGAAGTAAAAATACTTTCACTAATAATTATCTACACTTCTACACTAATATAATAAAGAGGAAAATATTGTTTGTTTCAATTGAATAAGCTCCCAAAACTACTAGACCGATTTGAAAAATTCTTTCACCGTTGGAATCCTACATTACCCCTGATGAACATCTACTATATTATATTTTCAAAAAAGTTAGGGATCCGTATGAAAACTTCCTTAATGTAACCCACGGTGTGAAAAAAATACCAAAAGAATCCTTATAACGCGTACGCTGCGGAAACTATTGACAATAGAACACCGTAATGTACTACACTTTTATAGAAAATATTAATATCTACAAAAAAAGTCCGCAATGCCGTTATGCCGGTGTTACTATTGCATATTAAAATATGCAATAGTAACGCCGAAAAATCCTTATAATATCGCATACGCTGCGGAAACTATTGACAATAGAGCAAAGTGATGTACCTACTATAACAGTTTTATAGAGGGTATCAATACCTACAAGAAAGACCGCAATACTAATTAGGTTTCTGTCTACGACTAATAACCTTAACTTTGAGCATAAAATCGATTAAAGATAAGAAATGTTCATATTCTGTGGCAGATTGCGCAAAACCTATAAATGATATCGCTTTCGTATGTATAAAAGGTTAATAGAAAATTCATTAAGGATCGTTTCGTACCTCCACACTTATCTTTAAAAGTCTGGGAAAACCGCGTTTTGGGGCACTTTCTGAGGCGTTCATCCGGGAGAGGGAGAGAGGGTGGATAAAATTTAACTTTGCTGTATAAAAGCACTACATTACATATGCCGATACATAATATAATTATTAATATATTAATTAAAATAATATAATTACTACATTAATTTAGCCAATTTCTTTAGCTAAAATGATTGAACTAAACGAGCGAGGTGTCATGTCATGTCGCGCGGCGCAGATACGTGATATACGCGGGTGAAACCGCGGGGCACAGCTATATGAAATATTTTTAATTATTAAATTCTTGTGTCTTTTTTCTGTTTGTTCCGGCTAATCTCCGAAATGGCTGAACCAATTTTGTCATCATCATATGTCATCGCTCATGTTATAAGGAGTAAAGTCTTATTTTTATTTTAGAAAAAGAACTGGGGTCTTTCGCAAAAAAATCAAATCTATGAAATTCAATCGTAATAAATTTCACGCGGACGAAGTCGCGGGGAACAACTAGTTTATTTATAGTTTGATTACATAAGATTGATACAAGAATTACTTTGTTGAGTTGTAAAACTAAACTTGCAAAAAATATTCTATTCTCTTTGTCACATTGACTGTCGTATTGACGATGTATTTTACTTCTGGAGTAAACGCGACATTTCTTGTATATCTCATAGGCGCTATTACGACAAAACGGGACGAAATGCGGTGATGGATCCCGTTTAGATAATCATCGAGCACAAACGAACTGGCACGACTACGAACATGTAGACGCCTTGTTCGGGTGTGCTCGCTACTCGGCCCGAGTGTTCGCCTGCTCTCCACTCGATGTCCGATTTTTAGCACGAGACAAAAGGAATGTTTTCGTGTATTCGTATCCAGGTTTATATACTCGTCATTATTCAGTTGACCTGTGAACTATCATTATAATTTTCTCTAATATCTTCCTTTGACATACATACTAAAAGCACGTTTAGATTATCCTTACAAGTCCACTGTCAAACACGTTTCCCCATGGAATGCCACTCAAATACGGTCCTGAGCAACCTACACTAATAGACTTTCTCTCTCCCCCCTTGGAATGCCATCATGGTATACGAACCCGTGGTGGATCCGTCAATTGACCTCATGGTTGAAGTTAGGCTTACCTTCTCTGAGATTTTTAACCGAAATTGTATTTGTACGTAGTAGAGCCACGCTGTAGCTATATTATGGTTGTAGCACGAATGGGTCGGCTCAACCGGGGCAGGACCACGCTCTCACATAATACCAGCGTAAAATAGCAGCCTAATGCTGCTGTGTTTCGTACGGTGTGTGTAGAGAATCGGAGACCTTTTTTACTGCAATCGAGGCATTCTATCTTAGTTATATTTTATCTCAGGGGTGACAACGCATTTGCATTTTGATTCTTAATTGAGAATCAAATGTGGATGTCTATGGGCCAAAGCATCCACTTACCATTAGGTGGACTGTGTGCTCGTTTGTCACCCAATGCTATATAGAAAAATCTAAATAGTCTTAGAACCGTTGCATCAACTTACCGCACCTCCTCAGTGACATTGTTAATGAAATCGGCGAGCGCTTTTGCCGTCTTCGTGTACATTGGATCTGACGCAGACACGTTGTACCATTTGCTACAGACGCACCAATGCGACAAAACCGCCGCTTGACCACACGTCCTCGACTTTGGGATCTGGAGACACATTTCTAGATGATCTTTTGGATTATACCTTATATACATATATGACATAAACACTCACGCCTGTCACCCAGAGGAGGCAGAGACTATAGACTTCCATTTGGCATGATCCTGACACACCTCTCGCTTCCTCCACCTTCATATACCTACGCATACGTGCTCGTTGGTTAAGGGTACTTCAAAATTTGGCCCATTTTCAATATATCGCCAATTTGGTCGACAAACTTTCACCTAGGAGCATAGGACGTCCCTTTCCGACACTTCCGTTCACTTCTGCAACATATATTTGCTTTGTCAGTCTTTCCTCATTCATTCTTTCTACATGACCAAACCACCGAAGCATTCCTATCTTAATCCTGGTCACAACATCATGCAAACCACACTCTTTATCTAAGTCGATAATTCAGTAGGTCAATAGACATGTCAATAACGTATCTCGATTAAAATTTTTTTTTTCAGTATAGAATTAAGTGAATGGTAGGATTCATTTTCTGCCTATTTCTGCCACTCAATAGCAGTGCTAGGATTCTGTGTTCCGGTCTGAAGAATATTGAAAGCCAGTGAATTTACAGGCTGTGAAGCATTCCATCTTAGTCCACAAAGGTGACAACCCATCTGTAGCCTCCTTCATTTGAAGCTGTTTGCAGAAGCCATTTACCATCAGGTGGACTGAGGGTTCATTGGTTATTTCAGATTTATTAGACACGATATGTTTCATACGTGGTAGAGCCACGCTGCACCTATATTATTTTTGTAGCACGAATGGGTCGGCTCGACCGGGTAAGGACCATGCTCTCACAGAATAGCAGCGTAAAACAGCAGCTTCATACTGTTGTGTTTCTTATGGTGAGTGTTGAGATCCGGATACCCTTTTTTACTGGGCACGAGGCATTCCATCTTAGTTTCAGGGATGACAACGCATCTGCGTTTTGATTCTTAATCGAGTTTAAATATATAACTCGTACGAATTAACTTGAGACCTGGGCCGATGACGTAATTGTCAATGTATGGTGTGCAAAATAATGCGTCGTAATATTTTTTTATTTGAAATTTTTGAGATTTGCATGAGATTATTAATAAAAACAAAATAAAATGTTCTGGCAAGGGGTGAAGTAATAAGTGATATACTGTTGCCATTTTTATATATTTTAAATATTAATTTTTTATAATATACATAATTTTATTTTTAGTTAACGCGTCAAGGAAGGACAAAGAAACAAACATACACACTTTCTCATTTATAATATTATTAATTTATTTATTATATACTTTATTGCACTATAAAAAGTGTTACAGATTCGTACACAATAAAAATACAAAGCATAACAGGCGACCTTATTGCTAACACCGTAACAAAAATGCTATCGGTACTGAGCGCGCATGGCCAGCGCGGGACGCGGTGCGGGGAGTCGGGAAGGGGGCCGCATTCCAGCGGAGTCTCAAGTTAATTCGTACGTGTTGTAGATGTCTATGGACCACAGCATCCACTTACCATCAGGTGGACTGTGTGCTTGTTTGTCATCCATATACTATAAAAAAACTAGAAGAAAAAGAATAACGAACGAACACACAGTCCACCTGATGATAAATGAATGCTTCATAAAGTATCCAAATTTCGATACGTTATCTAACCCCCTGAGGGTAGAGACAAAACAAAATTTGTTGCATCCTTTGATATTAAATTTATAACTTGGCAAATTTTAATAGTATCTTTAGTTGTATTTTTGTACAACAACTTGTTATTACAAAAATACTCCCCCATAGAATCACGTGTGTATCGTAGGGCGCGAGAGAGAGAAACGAAACAGAAGATAGACAGCAACATCTTCCTGAACAATATGTTTTTGAACCCACCTACCAAGCAAATACCTCTCCCCCGATGAGGCGGAAGCCTTTGTTCAGCAGTAGGATTTTGCTGGAATCATGAGGACAATAATACAATTTGGATGGATATAAAACCTGTCAAGTTATAAATTTAGCATCAAAAAAGTAAAGTTACAGCCTATTGTCAGCTTTTCTCCAATAAAGCCACGACAACTCACTTAGTTAACTGTTTAATCACTATGTTCGTTGTTTAATTTCACTCTTAAATTGTATATAACGCTTTATAACACACTATACTTTACTTTTACAAAGAAGAATATATATTAATTTAACTTTTAGAATCACCTTATTTCACTATGACTATTATAACCTTCTCAGCACCACTGTTCGTAATCAACTGCCGGGAGCGTTTTCTTTTTGCGCCCGACGCAATTAAAGGGCTACCCTATACGTAGGGAGGCGGAAAATGCATTACGCATACCACGATAGCCGGTCTATCGTGGTTATGAGGGGCTCACTGTCCTACCGGGGACCCTGATACCCTCTAAAAACCGCCTTTGGGGACAGGCAGCCGGCTGATCAAGCTGTATTGTGCCTTATCATGAGCGACCCTCTTTTGGGAAAAGAGGGCGCAGGCGGCTAAGTGCCGCTGAGGGAGTGCCTACGAAGGCAAATTAATGTTAGTTTTTACAATAATTTAATTTAATTAGAGTTGGCCTGAGCCGCCAGGAGACAGTTCAGGTCGTTTGACAGTTTATTAGGCGGGTCCGAGAGAGAGTTTCTCGGCCTGCGGAAACGATAGCGAGAGGGGGGTGGGGCTGCATAAGAAGCTGCCTCACGAATTAAATGGTTTGGGTGCGACTCTGAGGCTTTGAAGAAGTTCTCAGAGAGTTTTTTAAAAAAATTGTTGAATTATTGGGAGCTCTAAGTCCCGATGAAGGTCGGCATTACGGACGTACCAAGGTGCGTTCGCAGCTCGACGACAGAAGAGGTTCTGAACTATTTGGAGTTCATTTAAAATATTAGGGTTTGCGTGGGCAAAGACGGGGCCCGCGTAGGACATGACTGGTCGTATACAGACCTTGTAAAGGGTACGCTTGTTTCGAAGGGACATTTTACTGTGTCGGCCCAACATACTGTTGAGCCTACTCAGATAAAATCGTGCGTGACGGGTTACTCTTTTGACGTGGGGCTTGAAAGTGAGGGCCGGTAGCGTGAAGTGTACGCGCTTTTATATTGTGACTCAATTTTAGAATTAATGCAGGTAGTTTGAAATGGATTCTTATTAATATTAATTGTGAAGATTGCTAAGTAATATTGCATAATGATCATTTATCTAACACTATATACGTCAACATGCTGGCCACAGGCCTCCTCTCATTTCTGAGAGGGTTTTTTTAGGACAAGGAAGTGTCCGCCGCGCTGCCCCGATGCGTGTTGGCAAATTTCACATGTCTTCGAAATATTTATTTTCTTATTTCTCAGCCATGCCGGTTTTCTCACGTTTTCCTTCACCGCCGAGCACGTGGTAAATCAGTTGATATATTTATTTTATAACAATTTGCTGCCGGCGGGAATCGAGCCCGGGTTGCTCGCGTACTATGAATTTTACAGCAAGTGCTAACCATCTGAGCTACCAAGTAAACGAAAACTTACGTTTATTTTAAATCATTAAAGAACCTTGTTCATTCTCCCATAACTATGAATAAATTTTACGGAACTGATACAGTATTAAAGTCGAACGTATAAAAATGTAACAAAAAAATTCAAACGTATAGAAATGACCTTCTTTTATAGTATAAGGATGACAGCACACAGTCCACCTGATGGTAAGTGGCTCCTGTGGCCCATAGACATCTACATCTATCCTCGATTACGAATCAAAATCCAGATGCGTTGTCACCCGTTAGGATTAAGATGCAATGCCTCGATTCCAGTAAAAAAGGGCCTCCGGTCACTTACCATACGGAACACAGCAGCGTTAAATTGTTATTTTACGCTGGTATTCTGTGAGAGCGTGGTCTACTAATATAGCTGCAGCATGGCTCTACCACGTAAAAGAAACACAACTGTATAAAAATTATATTTAATTTAAATTTATACATTTCTATTTGTCAATTGCAAGTTGTTTTATTACCTCTGCATTGGTCGGGGAGTAAGAATATTGGTATTGTCAAAAACCCCGCTTTAAAGATCTGCGTAACAGTTAGACGTAGTAAACCATATACAATTTGAAAACATATTTTTTTTAATTTAATTTAATGGTCGAGTTTTCTTGAGCAAGGTTAATCTAATAATGCACTTAAAGGAATCAACGGGTTATTATTACATGTCTTCAACAAACTATGTTACATTTTGATAAAAAAGTTATAATCTTCGAATAATCCTTACCGGCTCCAACAAACTCATCCCCCTCGGTATATCAGAACCGGGAACTGTATATTTATTCGCCAACTCCTTCAACCCCATGGCGTCTACTACGGTCGTGTGGACGTCGAAAGGTGTGGTTAACAGGCCTGCGTTATTCCTCAAAGCCGTAACTGCCTGAGGACGTTCTTCTTTAAGCATTTCTGGGAGAATAATTGCCATCAACGGCAGACGTTCTTCTATTTTGCCTTGGTATGTCTCACGGAGGGCCGAGTATCTGGAAATTTACCTTTTTCATTTAAAGATTTTTGCGGGCGTCTTCAGATGAAAAGAAAACAAGAGATAAGCAGAAGCATTTTCCTGATAACAACTAAAAATAATAAAAAACTGCGGTTGCCAATCCGCTTGCCAAGCGTGCCAAATACGGCAAATATTCCACCTATGAGACAATCTATTTAATTGCAAAGCGCACGCGTGTGTGCGTATGTGTTGATTACCATTATTACTTAGATATTATTTACACAAATATTTGATATATATGGTATAACAATACATATACACATACATGTATTCACTGAATTAGGTCTGTTCACTAAAATAGTGTCGGTACACCCGGAGGCAAACTTAATATTTTGATTTTATTTAATTATTTTTATTGTGTTTGTTAAATAAATGTTTTTCTATTCTAAGAATAAAACAGAATACTATTTTATTCTTATGGCTATAATAATAATAATAATAATAATAATAACCCCCCCGTGGGATCACCTTGACGTGGTGGGGGGGCTTACGGGATTAAGTACTGGTAACTCGGCCTTAATATCTTGCCAATAAATAACCTACCCAAACTAACGATCCTGAACCCAAAATGGAGAATTGGAGAATTGTATGGACAGTCAATCTAAGAGATATAGTTTACGGCCGCTTCCCGGAGTTCGTCGGGGCGCATCTGGAGCCAACGCTGGATGCCACAGCATGCGAACCGTTGGCGACGGGGGACTGAACAGGCGGGTTCCCCTCGAAAAAAATTGCTACAGCTGAACGATCACATTCACCTTCATCTACGGTATCTTCCGAATATTCACTCTTTGGTAATATTACATCACCTTCCTCAACTCATAGCCTATTTCGATCACCTGATTCATCACCATCATCTTCATATACATCAAGAATTACAAGGTCAACAGCTGTTGTGCAGGAGGCATCAGCTACTAAACCTGCACCCACTGTTGGGCAACTACGTGCGCGAAAAAAATGGACAGAAGATATGAACCGCTTTATTTGGCGTACATACCTATTAATAACTAAATGCGAAACAACCCACATGAATAATTACCTAGAAATTTTACACCAGGAATTTGAAAGTAGATATTCCGAAATGAAAGCCACTCGGCAACGACTAGGAGACCAAAAACGAGCTATATTAAGAAGAAAACTACTGCCACAAAAACTATTAGACGAAATAGGTAATGAAGTAAGAGAATATGTTATACAGAATGAGAACCATAAACACACACACACAGCACTCAAATTACAGCACCATCACAAACAAATACTACGAACAATACCAGGATAAAATGGTCGGATGAAATAAATGAAGACATCATTAGGTTTTATCTTGAAGTAACTGAGTTCGAGAAAGATCAAACTGGCTACCGGAAAAAATTGTATGAGCTGTTCATAGAAAGACATCCATATTTATCTTACCTTACTGAACAGAGGATTGCCGACCAAAGAAGATTAATATTTAAAAATAAGAAATACTCAAATAAAATTAACGAATTGAGAAGAGAAGTAGAATTGAAATTGGAGCTGAATAATCGACAACTAGTTACAGATCAAAATTATACCGAAGTAGAACAAACGCAACAAACCCCGTATGAAAGCACAACAGACATCTTTACACCCACACAGCATACTCAACTTGAAAACATGATAGATAGCACAAACACTGTTATAAAAACATGTACATTAAGTAATGCTCAAAAGGAAAACTCCCAATTACAAAATCTCATGGAAAGTAACAAAATTGAAATAGAATTTAATAATGCTATTGCAATATTTAGCACAACTCATGCTGAAGCAAGACCATACATCCCAAAACAGAAATATTCACGAAAATTTGCACAGATTGTTCACTACTCGAATAATGAAATTTTACCGAGGCATCTTAGTCACGATTTAGATTTTATTTCATTACATACCTTAATATATTCAGCAGCTTATACAGCCGCCTTATGCAATGGTACCAGATTTAACACAGGGGGAAATATAACTGCAAACAATCGAAATAGAAAACCTACCTGGCAAAGAAGAATTGAAAGCAGAATAGAAAAATATAGATTAGAAATTGGAAGATTAACACAATACATAATAGGAAATAGAAATCAGAGAATATTAAAGACTGTAGAAGAAATAAAGAGGAAATATAAAACACACTCTGAACATGAAGAATCTAATACGGAGCCACAACATTTTCTCGACACACTCAAGCAAAAATTAAACGCGCTATCAAATAGATTGAGAAGATATTTAACATGTACTATACGTAAATAACAAAATGCAAACTTTTTAAATAATGAAAAACAGTTCTACAGAACTTTAGGCACGAACACCATATTAATACCACACGTTCTACTCAATTCCCATCACCACAACACTTACAAAAATTTTAGGCAGGCCTATGGGAAAACCCAGTAGCACATAATAGTAAGGCTGAGTGGTTAGACAAAATACCAAAAGCAGCAAATATTAAACAAATGGATTTTGAAAATATCACAGTAGAAACATTCATTCAAATAATCAAACGCACACAAAATTGGAAAGCACCGGGTACCGATAATATACATAATTACTGGTACAAAAAGCTCACATGTACACATCCATTTATCTACAATCATATTTGTCAATTCATACATTCACCACATAATATGCCAACATTCATAACAAGCGGTCTAACTTACATGCTTCCGAAAGGCTCAGATCCAAAAGACCCCGCAAATTACAGACCTATAACATGCCTACAAACAATATACAAGATTATTACAGGATGCATTAGCGAAACAATCTACAGACACCTTGACCAACAAAATATTCTTGCAGAACAACAAAAGGGCTGTAAGAAAAATAGCCAGGGATGTAAAGAACAGTTGACAATAGATGCAATAGCCATGAAACAAGCACACAGTAAAATAGAAATATTCATATAATGTACATTGATTACAAAAAGGCATTTGATTCTGTCCCTCATAGCTGGTTAATTTATGTACTAAAATATTACAAAAAAACTTCATACCAGTCTGATTTCATTTTTAAATGTAGCCATGCTTCATTGGAAAACGAAACTAAAATTAATAAATAACAGTTCCTTAAGTACTGAATCAATAAAAATACAAAGAGGTTTATTCCAGGGAGACGCTCTTAGTCCGTTATGGTTTTGTCTAGCCCTCAACCCGTTATCAGAATTACTCAATAGTACTAATGTAGGTTTTAAATTAAAATATAATAACTCATATCACATTCTGTCACATTTACTGTATATGGACGACATAAAAATTTATGCAACCAACAACACTGAACTTACAAAACTAGCAGACTTAACACAGTCATTTTCTACAGACATAAAAATGCAATTTGGTGTTGATAAATGCAAAGTACATTCTATCATTCGCGGAAAATCAATAAACAATACATATATACTCAGTACTGGTGAACAAATAGAGCCCATGGACGAACATAGCACATATAAATATTTAGGATTTCATCAGTCCAAACAGATACATCAAAAACAAGCAAAAATAGACTTAACTAAAAAATTTAAAATTAGAATAAACCAAATATTAAGAACTCAGCTAAATTCACGCAATATTATAAAAGCCATAAATACCTACGCGATACCCATTCTCATCTATTCTTTTGGAATAATAAATTGGTCTCAGAGTGATTTAGTTAAACTTCAACGCACAATTAATACAAATATGACAGTAAACAGAAAACACCACCCCAGATCATGTACACAGCGTCTCACATTACCACGCCAAGATGGAGGGAGGGGCATCATCGATATACAAAATTTACACAACAGTCTAATAGACAAATTTCGCAAATATTTCTATGTAAAATCTGAACATTCGCAACTGCACAAATATATTGTAGGTATAGACAAAAAACTAACTCCTCTTAATCTAAATGACAGAAATTTTCAGCTCAAAATAGTAAGTAAACAGCAGAAAATAGATTTGTGGTCACAAAAGTCTCTGCATGGTAGGCACCTTGCCGATCTCGGTCAAGCACATGTCGACAGGCAAGCGTCGAATGAGTGGCTCCGACGCGGAGAACTCTTCCCAGAGACAGAGGCTTTTGTAATTGCTATTCAGGACCAAGTAATAGATACTCGTAACTATCAAAAACACATTATTCATATTCCCAGCCCTCCAACTGACTTATGTAGACGATGTCACAGTAGCTCAGAAACAATTCAACATATTACAGGTGCATGTAAATCTATAGTTCAAACTGACTACAAACATAGACATGACCAAGTTGCTGCAATTGTCCACCAAAACCTGGCCCACAAACATTCATTCATTTTAAAAAAGGTCGCTTATTATAAATATATTCCCAGCACTATTTTAGAAAGTGATTCCGTCAAAATATATTGGGACAGAACAATTATAACAGACAAGACTATACATTACAATAGACCGGACATAACAATACTAGACAAAATTAAAAAATCTGTTTTTATAATAGACATAGCAGTTTGCAACACACACAACCTCATTACTACACATTCGGAAAAAATGACAAAGTATGTTGACCTGGCTATGAAATAAAAAGGCAATGGCAAGTAGACTCCGTAAAAATCACTCCTATCATCATATCTACAACTGGTGTAGTTCCAAAGACCCTTCAAACCAGCCTCAACATGCTTCAAATGCCTAAATCCACTCTTACACTTATACAAAAAGCAGTCCTTCTTAACACCTGTCGTCTCACACGTAAATTTCTTAACTCATCACCGTCATCACTGTAATTCTTTCTTTTTTTTTCCTGCGTGCACACTTGGTCAAGGCCCGTGTGTCCGTTTTCTACCCCTCAATACAGAGGGAGAAATAAAAAGAAATAAAATTAATATAATAATAATAATAATAATAATAATATGGTTCTGCCTCTCTCTGAACCCTCTCAGTACCTTACTGGAGGGCTCCGAGGGGATTTCAGCTACGGAAAGGAGGGACAAAAGTGACCCACCTTTTCTATATGGATGACCTCAAGTTATTCGCCTCCAGTCGCTCCCATCTTATGGAACTGCTAAACATCACTTGTGAATTTAGCAATTCCATTGGAATGGAGCTGGAGACGGATAAGTGTGCGGTCCTCCATGTTGAGAGGGGTAGGGTTGCTAACTTTGAGGGCATAGACTTATCTATGCCCGTCAACTTAAGGACCCTTTCCGAGGCTGAAACATACCGATACCTGGGTATGTCACAGAACATCGGTATCGATGAGGCTGGTATGAAACAGTCAGTTTGCGACGTGTTTTATGCACGCTTGACCAAAGTGCTTAACAGCCTTTTGTCCGGTGTGAATAAGACACAAGCATATAACGGCTGGGTCATGCCTGTCCTCATGTATACCTTTGGCATACTCAGGTGGACTCAGACTGAACTTAACGCCCTGGATAGAAAAGTCCGCACTACCATGACGTCCCACAGGATGCATCATCCGAGATCGTCGGTAATGAGGCTGTACTTGCCGCGAAAGCATGGTGGGCGTGGCTTCTTGAGCGCGCTCACCATGCATAATCGCGAAGTGTGCAGCCTCCGTAATTACTTCCTGGCGAGATCGGATGATCCATTCTATAAGGACGTCATTTCTTGTGATAAAGGACTTACCCCTCTATCCTTAGCCAACGAGCAACGGCAAGACCCGGCAGTGCAGACAATTTCCGACCGGGAGACCGTATGGAAGGAGAAGGAGCTCCACGGGAGGTTCTACAAGTCTCTACATGGGCTTTCGTAGACACAGTAACCTCTCTCCACTGGCTACGCTTTGGTGACCTCTTCGGGGAAACCGAGGGTTTTGTCTGTGCAATACAGGATCAGGTTATTAAGACCAACAACTATCGGAGATACATCCTAAAGGATGGCACCATCGACATCTGTCGAGCTTGTCGCCATCCCGGTGAGTCACTTAGGCATGTCATCTCCGGTTGTTCGGCGCTTTCTAACTCTGAGTACTTGCACAGGCACAACCTAGTAGCCAGAATTCTACACCAGGAGCTCGCTCTGAAATACGGTTTCGTGGATCGGAAGTTGCCGTATTACAAGTACTTGCCGGAAGCCGTGCTCGAAAATGATCGCGCCAGGCTCTATTGGGACCGGGCCATCATCACAGACAGGACTATTCTTGCGAATAAGCCTGATATTGTGCTGATGGACCGGGCACAGTCAAGGATATTTTTGGTCGACATTACCATTCCGTGTGACGAGAACCTCGTGAAAGCCGAAACAGATAAGCAAACAAAATATCTGGACCTGGCTCACGAGGTGACCGACATGTGGGGTGATCTGCCGACCGAAATTATTCCTGTAGTCGTCTCTGCAAACGGGCTAATCCCAGTCAGCCTCTCGGGTCATCTGAGGCGGCTGGGACTACGTGGCGGACCGCTCCAGGCTCAAATGCAGAAGGCGGTGCTCCTCGATACCGCCCGCATCGTCCGCCGGTTTCTTTCCCTTTCCCCCTAACCCTCGGCCGTTTGGTCTCCCCTGCCGAGGGCTTCCATCTGGTTGGGCTTTTATTTATTTATGTATTTTCATATTTATTTTATTTTATTGATATTTTTGTATATTTATCTTTTCATTTTCGTTTATAATTATATATTTATACATCCCAACCAGATGAGAAAACTATATAGATACCCCACACATAATAGTTTATTTCTCTTGTTATTTACAATTTGCATAGGGTAGGGAGCATCTTTTAAGTACCATAAGGCACTTTTTTTAATACCCCACTACCACATTTGGAATACAATACGAATATAAATAATAGAAACAAGTGAGGTAGCAAAGAACCTTTCACTACGACGCTTCATTTTAAAATGCCAAATTCTCCTGCCGGTATACATCGCACGCGGCGACCTTTAATGTCGCGTTGGCGCCTTTGACAAAATGCGGCACGTACCGAGGCAACGCCGGCGCAACACAAAGGCGACCGTATCTAAGCGAACAGACTAAACAAACATGAATATTGCATTCATTCTTATAGTGTCTCTAAAAACGATAATGTAATTTTTACAATACATTTTTATTAAAATATAGGAATGATTTTATTTGACAGAAATTCCAATAGAACAATAACCCACCTAGAACCATGATCGCCCATAACGATAACCAAGTGGTTCCTCAACTTTCCAGATTCTTTGAGATGGCGTAGGAACGCCACAACGCCGTCATCTGACGTGGATATCATGTTGAAGTCCTCGTGAGTTATATCAGCAATGAAGGTAAAGCAGAAATGTTTCTCCTCTAGCTCTGTGAACTGAGGGTATATATTTTAGAATATAGTAGGACTTCTTTCTTACTAGGATTTCACCTGCAATTCCTCTGGTGTTGGAATTGTTGAAGGACGGCGGTAGTCACTTAACATCAGATGAATCGTATCCTTTGCCTCCTCTTCTATAAAAAAAATTGGTTTTCTGTAAAGTTGGTTTACGGACGATAGTTTAACGTGACAACGTCATAACAAAACATTGATGAAATGATTGCATACTATTATGAATAAAATAGCCGATCGTGCCTTTCGGTTGTTAGTGCCGCGCTCTTGCCCCGATCATGCTTGGCTTGGCTGGAGTGTAACGGGACAATGAGTCATCATTTTTCTTGCATGCAGCCGGCATTCATCGATTTATTAGACGTTGTCACGTCAAAAAAAAAAGGATTTCTTCGGACTACCACCCTCTAACCAAGCAGCAGCGCGTGCTTTGTAAGTTCTAGTCTGAAGAGTATAGAGAGCAAGTGTAATTACAGGCTGTGAGACATTACATTTCAGTCTTCAGAGGCAACACATCTGTAGCATTCTTTGTTTGAAGTTGGTTACTCGTGTCCGTAGACTGCAGTAGGCACTTATCAGCAGGTGTGAATTCGTTTGTCACTCTCCGATCGGCTCGATACACCGGCGCTGCGACGAGATGTTGCATCGCTTTGCATTTTCTATCGAAATATCCACGGGGAGTGCTCTGAGGAATTGTTCAGATTAGTTCCAGCAGCCAAATTTCACGAACGCACATCGCGTCAAAACTCACGATCACAACTGTACGTTTTACAAGAAATTTTCTTCCTCGTAAAACCCCTCTGTGGAAACGTTTACCACTGGCGATTTTTCCGAACCTATATGACTTAGGGAGCTTCAAGAAAAGAGCTTACTCCTTTCTAAAAGGCCTACAACCCACCTGCAATTCCCCTGGTGTTGCAGTTATTCGTGGGTGGCGGTAGTCACTTTCCATCAGGTGAGCCGCATGCTCGTGTGCCCCATCTTCAAAAAAAAAACTTCTTTAAAAAAACTTCAGTTTTACAAATGATGCTTAACACTCTGACGCGCCTACGGTGTTCTATCATGGACATCTTTTTAAGGCCCGTAAAAGTCTTCTGGACATGGCCCTCTCTGCTTTGAAAGAGTACTTAATTGTCACATTTGACAGGTGAATTAAGAGCGTAGATGGGCTGCATTTTTTCCATACGAATGTATTCCCCCTATTCTCTTCCTGGGTAATGCCTCTAAAGTAATCGTTTTTATTTATAAAAAATGTATGTATACGCTGTTATGTTTTCTACATTCTTTTGTATGGCGTTGAAGCGTCTGACAGAACCTCACAGAACCTAGCTGTAAGAAGATTGAAGCCTATATTTAATGGGTATACAGGAAAATGTTAAGAATATCCTAGAGAGACAAAATAAAGAACGTAAGCGTGCTAAGTCGTATAAAGAAAAAACCAGAAGTTGTATATTTAGTAAAGAAAAGATAGCTTGAAACTTGAATATCTCCGCCACATAATGAGAAACCGAAAATACGATATACTACAACTCATCATACAGGGCAAAATCCAAGGAAAATGGAGTTTGGGTCGAAGAAGAACATCTTGGCTGAAAAACCTACGCCAATGGTTTGGAAAAAGCACCCGTTCCTTATTCAGATAGCGGGATTAAAGATACAAGTTGCCTTAATGATCGCCAACCTTCAAAAGAAGATGGCACTTTAAGAAGAAGAAGAAGAAAGTCTATTGAAGGCATGTCATTTATTTTTTTCCAAAAAATTTTTACAAAAATAAATATGACTTTCCAAAAACTCCTTTTAACTCTGTAATGAGACGACTACCAAAGAAATTTGATAAGTTTTTAAAATAAAAACACGTGATAGGAGCATAGATTCTTCCTTGAAATTTTGATACCAAAAATAATTTAATGGGATTAGTTTTTGAGGGGGAAACAGGGGAATACAAAACATCGAATGGTCATGGTTTTTGTAGCTAAAATCGTTCTGAGCTGCAGTTGTCTCTATCGCACTCTACGGGGAAGACCAGAGGTGAGGGAGGGTTAGACTAAGACGTACACAATTAGGGAAGGGAAAACTGTCGGAGTTAGTACCGAGTATGGAGGTTAGAGATAATAAATATATATATATATAAAAAAAATATATATATATATATATATATATATATATATATATAATTAAAGATATAAAGAAAAAAAGAGAGGAACAGGAGAAAGATCGCTACGTACTAAAGCATAGCCCGCCTGTCCTTGAAAATTTGTAGAATTTATAGCGGCGCTGCCGTCGGTAAGTAGTGGCTGCGAAGTTAGCTGTCGTAGAGAATGTCTCAGGCATGACCGCCTATACATCATGTTGTATATTTCTTACCTGCTTGCTAAGATTCAGGAGCAAACCATACTGAGGCACAGCCCCAACGCAATGTCTCTTGTTAATCCCGTTCCACCATTTTGCACCGTATTTGGACTCCTCGAGGAAGAAGGCCCTTAGATAGTGATCGGCCGGTTGTGATTTGAAGCCGTTGTACCGATACTGAAACGTGCCGATCCAGGGCATGTCTTCGAAATATGCCGTGTGATATCTGTTCGAGAAACAGAATGCAAGTATACTTTACTAAAAGTAAATGACTATTTTATTGAAAGCAAATGACTCGATGATGTATCGTGTTTGGGTTCCTTTAAATTGGAATAAAGGTGGTCAGGGTCTCATGATGGAGCAGGAAAGACAAATAAGGATTCCAAACTACTTTCACTCGCTATGAAGTTTTGGTACCTACTACGATGTAGTATCGTTTGTGGCATATTAGTGTCCGAATAATATGCTAAGTAATGAAATAATGAATGTTTTTTTGTTTCAGAGTTTTTTTTTACAAGGTTTAAGTTTTATTAAACAAGGTTATTTATAAAAGAGTATCCAAATTTAATATTTAAGTTCAAATACATAAATATACCGTTATTGTAGTTTTTGAAAATACGTGCAAATAAGGCTTTTATTTTTATTTGCAATTATCCCAAAATTAACGTGATTTATAGGTAATAACTACGCGTGCGCGTGCTCCTGTGTGTGCGATTCAATTCACAACCTTTTTCCCGACCGAGCGATCCTTACGAATGTGCGTGCGTAGTAAAATATTAGGGGTTAGATATTTATTAATGAAAATTAGTTAAAATAATGCATTACCACGTATTCTGAACTTAAAAGATAAAAAGGACAGAATGTTTGAGGTTTTTCTAAATAATTTTTCTTCGCCATTCGCCTTTATTACTTATTCAAAACCTTTACTGGGCGTATTTTGCCTTTTTATATACAACTACAGCTTTACGGCTTTACAGCTTGCCGCCGGGAGATCGCCGGTTCTCCTTCAAAGAAAGAGAAAATATTTCTAGTTAAGTACGTACCCGTACTTCTTGAGAATACGAAACATGAATAACTCGGGATCTATGAACATATCCTTGGCGTAACTGATTCTGGCTTCCGGCATTTCTAGTTCCGTTTTTCCTGATAGTAAAGGAACTATAGCTGCTGGTGTTGCGTCCCCCACGATGTTGTAACTGGAAAAATTAAATATTATCAGGACTGTGTAATAATAATAATAATAATAAATTTTTATTGCTGCATAACAATGAGTTTACATAAAATATATATTAACATACTGTCTAAATATTACATCTTAAATTATATTAGAACCTCTGACTTCTAAACTAGGCAGGGCCTGTATCATAGAAATCAGGGCTCTTCACAAAATCAGTGTCGGCAGGACAAGTATGAGTTAGCAAAAAGTAAAAAGAAAGTAATAAATGAAAAAAATAATAAACTTGTTAACTTAAAAACGAAACAATATAAAAGGAGGAAAATAAAATAAAGAATTAAAACCAAACGAAATGTGTGTGTCTGTGTGTCTGTTTGTCTGTGTGGCTGTGTGTCTGTGTCTGTGTGTGTGTGTGTGTGTGTGTGTGTGTGTGTGTGTGTGTGTGTGTGTGTGTGTGTGTGTGTGTGTGCGCGTGTGTGTGTGTGTGGTGTGCGTGCGTGTGTGTGTGTGTGTGTGTGTGTGTGTGTGTGTGTGTGTGTGTGTGTCTGTGTGTGTGTGTGTGTGTGTGTGTGTGTGTGTGTGTGTGTGTGTGTGTGTGTGTGTCTGTGTGTCTGTGTGTGTGTGTGTGTGTGTGTGTGTGTGTGTGTGTGTGTGTGTGTGTGTGTGTGTGTGTGTTTGTGTTTGTGTTTGTGTTTGTGTTTGTGTGTGTGTGTGTGTGTGTGTGTACGCTTTTATTGAGTCCGCATCGGCCCGCTATCCGATTCAGTTTTATTCTTGAAAGCATTTATGTTAGGTGTAATTTTTTGTCTACCCACACCTCAACACACATCATTCATTCATCTTCTAAAGAAGATATATGCTAGCTCTCACTGATATCTAGCTCTCACTTATTTTTAACGATGAAATAGAGGGGTGTTATGTGTTTAACGTGTTTATCTGTGTATCTGTTTGTTGGATCGCAGCAAACGGATGAACCAACTTAGATTAATTTTTTTTTGTTTGAAAGGTGGCTTGATCGAGGCAGTTATTAGCTACGATTAAAGAAATTTTTTTAGCCGTTTCAAGAACATCAGCTCTTTTTGTTTCGGGGTTTTTAAAATTTTTTATTTATTTATGAGTATATATATATATATATATATATATATATATATATATATATATATATACTAGCTTGCCAGGCAGGCGTTGTTCTGCCCCTTTCGACGACCTTTTGTCATGTCCATTAAAAATCTTAAATTCGCAAAAAAAAAAAATAAACAACACGTAATTTATTTATACTAATATTGAAATTAAGAACCTGCAAAAATGTATTGATATTTAATCATACTTCGCATTTATGTCCAATACGAGGCAGACCGCCTCGTAGGTGTAGTGGTAGTAAACGTGGTTGATGATCATGAGGTACTGAGGTTTCCCGGGTCGGGTCAAAATCTGATATGGGGTTTTGCTTTCAAGAAATTTGTAGTCGCAGTTCATAGAAATGAAGTTGTTGCTGTTCCACCTCCGTGCCTCGGAAAGTACGTATAGCCGTTAGTCCTGCGCCTGAGCTCTCTCCAGTCGTGTCGGATTACCGTCCCTTCGGACTATGAGAGTGATGGAATAGATCTAATATATGGTATGTAATGTATGTATGATATATAATGATAGAGTATATCTGTGCTTGCGCACACTGTAAACCTGTCCTGCGCCGATGGCTAGTCTCCACTGAGACTGGCCGCCGTGAACGAAATTCAATCTAATAATAATAATCTAAACATTATTATGAATATAATTACATTTAAAATTCCCCTATATTTATTTTATATATTATTATTATTTTATAACTCACAACACCTAAAATTAGTTAATGGGGGTTTTTTCTGTCAAGAAATTCTCAATAGCAGACCGGAGTTAGGAAGTCGACAAAGTTTCACGCCCGTTCCTCGGAAAGCACGTAAAGTCTTTCGCCAAAGCATACTACTGTAAGATTTTTAGATACTCTGAGCTCGTTCTCCGTAGATCAAACAAAAAATTTACATTTTTTTACGTGGTGGGGTCATGCTGCAGCTATATTGTGGTTGCAGCACGAATGGGTCGGCTCAACCGGGGCAGGACCACGCTCTTCAGAATATCAGCGTAAAATAGCAGCTTAATGCTGCTGTGTAATGAGCCGTAGACTCTTTATACTGGAAACGGGGCATTCGATCTCAGTCCTCAGAGGTGACAGATGCGTATCTGCATTTTGATTCTCAATTTAAGATGAATGTAGATTTCTATGGGCTACAGCATCCACTTACCATCAGGTGGATTGTGTGCTCGTTTGTCACCCTTATTCTATAAAAACTATTAAAAGTTGAAGGTAGCCTTCGTCAACTATGACTTTGGGACCTTTTTTTGATATTTTACCATTGGTTTGGAAAATAACTTTATCCTGGGATGAATTAGCAAGCAACCTAACGCCATTATTTTTTTACTAGCGACGCGTCCCGGATTCGCTTGGATAACTTCTATAAATATGTTATTCAGATTGAAGATAATTAAAGACCATTTTCACTTTATCAAGTTTTTTTCAAATTTCCAAAGTTTCCGGATAAAATATATCCTTGATCCCTCCTGGCATGGCTCTCTATCTGTCTATAGCTTCATTACAATCGGTTCTGCCCTTTGATTATATACCTGTCATTCAGCCATTCTCAAGATTGGGCCCGGATAGACATACGGACAAAAAAATAAGAGAAAAAAGTGAATAAGATATAGTCATTTTAAGGCATACGCTGAATGGCATACGTTACTAAAAAGTTTTGTCCATACTCACAAAGCTGAGTAGACGGTTCGATGAACGCTGTGCCAAAACTCTAGCGCTAGTTATTTGGAATTGGTTTTCAGTCCAAATTCGCATGACAGATTATAAAATTTTGATGTCTTTTTGTTATAGAATTATAGTGACGAACAATCACACAGTCTAACCGAAGGTTAGTGGATCCTGTGGCCCATAGACATTTTCATTTATCTTCAATTAAATTTCTTGATGAGTCTTCACCCTCAAAGACTAAAATGGAATGCCTCGTTCACCATACTATCCATAGCAGCATTAACCAGCTATTTTACGCAAGTATTTTGTGAAAGCGTGGTCCTAGAACGCTCGAGCCGACCCATTCATGATACAACCATAATGTGACTGCAGTTTGGCACCTAATATTTTATGAAAGTAACAAATAAACTTTTTCAAACTTAGTATAACACAACCGCCCTGAACTTAATGAAAACCATTTATTTAAATATTACTTACAGGCACATCAATTTTATTTACATGTGTAAAGAAATAGATTACAATAATACTAATATCTTAATATAAGCTGGGTGGACTATGGAAGGCCATGCTCCTTCGAAGGCATGTCGTAGTTATTGCCATGTGATGACAAATTCCTTCTACTTACACAAACACCCATCGAACTGAAAATTACAGACGCGGCGGAGAATCGCTCGCGCTACTATTTTGGCAGTACGATCCTTCGCTTCATTGATTTCGGGAATCGACGACGTTAAAATAAGGTGGGTGTACCATGGAAGGCCACTCTAACAAATAAACAGTAATTATTCGTTTATTTACTGGATAAATGAAACTAACAAATATTTAAGTAATACTTTGTTTTATTACGTTACATATAAATCACTTCTTTTTATTAAGCTATTGCATAGCTTCTATCGCGGGCCTTGAGCGCGGGGGCCGAATCCAGAAATTCCGTAACGAAAAAACCCTCACGCTCACAACTCCGACGGGCACGGAGGTGTGGCGATGAAAGCCGTGCATCGTCTAACGTCGTTTCAGTTCGGCAGACTTCGGCACTCGGCAGACTTCGGCACGGTGTTTGTGTGCGTGCGACTAGTCGTATGCGTGTACACTAGCTGCTAACTGAATGATAAAAATTGCTGAATAACCTACATGTATTGTAAGATATTAAAAATATTTTAAACAATATTAACTTCTCATTTATACAATAAGAGAAAAAAAATTGTTTTCTTATCGGTCACCACGCTTAAAAAGTGTAACTTGATTTAATATCAAAGACTTAACTGCATAAATAAAATAAATAATTAATTATAATTGCATAAGTTGATAAAAAATGCTATGCAATAGCTTTACCGCGGCAGTCCCCGAGTGCCACACGTCTTTTTTAGATTTAATCGCTATTTTTAAACTTTTTTATTAAACTTTAGTGTTAAATGACTGATTTATTATAATGGCCTTCTAAGAAGCCTTGTTTCTAAGCAAGGCCGTTTGGAAGAGTTCAATGAAATTTAAGTTCAATCAATATTGATTAAATCTGCAATTTAAAAAAGTGTTTTATATGTTACGTAATAAAACAAAATATTACTTAAATATTTGTTAGTTTCATTTATCCAGTAAATAAACGAATAATAACTGTGTATTTGTTAGGGTTGATTTCCATGGTACTTTATATAAATTACGTGTCACGTTGTTTGTTCGCGATGGACTCCTAAACTACTTAACCGATTTTAATTAAATTTGCACACCGTGTGCAGTTTGATCCAACTTGAGAGATAGGATAGTTTTTTGCCTATAAGCCGCAATTTTTTTTTGCGAATTTATGAATTTTTAATAGAACATGACAAATGCTCATCGAAACGGGCAGAACAACGTCTGCCTGGCAAGCTAGTTCATTTAACAATTTCTGATTTATTATGGATTTTATGGGTTTTAATTATTTTCTGCGCGGAACCCTAATTCTTTTTCTGAAATAAATGTAGCCTTACTTCCTCCTTATAACATCAGCTATCTATCTGCCAGTGAAAAACTCGTCAAAATCGCTCCGGACGTTTCGGAGATTAGCCGGAACAAACAGACAGACAGACAAAAATCTTAAAAAATGTTTTTTTGTTATTTGTACTGTATGCTTTCGTATTTATGTAAGTATTTAGTAAAATAATATTATTTTGACATTACATTTACCTGAAGTAAGTCATTAAGGCCGTCGATTTAGCCACTTTTTGAAGAAAAAATATTTTCTTGTGTAACTTTGGTTTCGTAACGTTTTATTGTTGTAAAGGTTTGTGCATATTGTAATTTATTAAATATACTTTTCCGTTACCATAGCAACCTTATGAAAAATATCAACCTTTTTCTAAAAGCTTTGATCGTATAGAGTAACGAAAAACCCGCTTAGTATTTTTTTATTTATTGTGCAGATGCAGGGGGTTACTTCTACGTTACCGTAACATAGAAGTGTCTATGTTACTGTACGTTACTAAGTGGGAAAATCTTAGGCCTTACCATTCAATGTTACTTATTTGTATAAATAACACTTGCCCATGTAAAATTGTAGCGTCCAGTTCATCATTTAAAACTTTATAACTATGAGGCATTCGCCGCTTGAATCCATTGTGGGATGTTGAATCAAAACACAGGATCAAGACACTCAGGTTATTGCCACGGTCTATAATAATGTCATTTTGTTTTATTGGACGGAACCCGGTTTTGTAGCCGTACCACCTGGACGATAAAAGGTTAAACCTGCAAATTTATAAAACACATGTCACCTAAAAAAAGGAACTAATATCACATTATCTATAGATATTTCAAGTATTTTTTTATAGTATAAGAGTTACATCTGATGATAAGAAGATGATATGGCCTATAGACATCTTCATTTATCATCGAATAAAAACAATACGTAGGTGCGCTTGTCCCCTCTGAAGACTAAGATGGAATGCCTCGTATCCAGTCAAGAGGGTCCGGTTGTCTACACTCACTATACGAAACAGCAGCATTAAGCTGCGTATTTTACGCTGGTATTCTGTGAGAGCGTGGTCCTTCCCCGGTCGAGCCGACCCATTCGTGCTACAACTATAATATAGCTGTAGCGTGGCTCTACCACGTAAGAAATTAGGTACTTTTATACTAATGCTGTTATCTTATTTAAAAAATCTCCAGAAAAGAAATTACTACGTAGTACACATTAGCTCAAGGATACCCGTCCACATTCTTCCCGCTGCAAGACACCTTTACGTGATCGCTTCTATTCAACACGTAGCTCCCATCTCCGTACACTTTGACCGGATCACCAATCTTATAATTATGATCGTCTATGTATATTATATCCTTGTAACTGCAGACGACATCGCGCATTTTACTCAATATCTCCTTAACTACATAACACTTAGATTTCTGAAAAGATTAAATAAATGTAACGCAAGTGGTAAAATTAAAATTTTTGTACAACCGACTCAATATGAATAAAATGAGAATATCGATGTATTCGAAGTCAATTAAATACGCATTATTTAAGGATAACTCAAAAAAACTACTGCGTAGATCTCGATCGGTGCAGTCAGATTGATCGTATGGGAAGCACTAACTTTGCAATAAAAGATCCATCAAAATCAGTTCACCTAGAAAAAGTTTTGAGGCAACACACAAGAAAATACACTCGAATTGAAACCTCATCCTATTTTTTTTGAAAAGTAAAAAGATTAAAATTTTAATTAATAGATCCAGGCGTCACTTTGCGGAAATTCATTTTATTAAAGATGTTAAAAAAATTATGTAGATAATTGATAGAACCAGGCGTTACTTTGCGGAAATTCATTATAATAAACATTCATTATAATACAGTATTATTGTCGATGGTGAGTCTTTCCTGGAATAGTGGTGCCGGGAGTAATGATGTTGGGAGTAAGTGTTGGGAGTAGTGGTGCTGGAATTAGTGGTGACGCGATTAGTGCACGCAATTGAGGGAGGGCGGGAGGTGCTCTTCAATCCAGGTATTTAATATAAGGTAATAACACATTATTGTATTTAATTAAGCGGATGGTTGCGAATTAAATATCAATATCTTTAAAAATTATGTACTTAAACCCGCGTAAAGTAACGCGTAATATTATTCGGATTTTTGCTATTTTTAACGTTAAAGCCTAATAAAGTTCACTGCTGAACACAAGCATCCCACATAAATTGCCTCATAGGTGGGATATCTGCCAGAGTTGCCACGCTTGGCAAGCGGGTTGGCAACTGCAGTTTTATTTTTATTTTTACACGTCTTCCTAGTAGGAAGACGCTACTGCCAATTTCCTGATTTGTTTTTCTCTTACGACACCCACGGGATAGTACATAATGAATACTTACACTATTTCTATTACTTGTTACATCAATATTTTGGTAAATTTCAATAACAAATTGAATAAAATATACGCATCAAAATTATGGATAAAATCAATCTGACAAGTTTTGATAATTACATAATATGATTTGCATACGTGGTTAGAGCCACACTGCAGCTATATTATGGTAGTAGCACGAAGGGGTCGGCTAGAGGTGAGGGCCACGCTCACACAGAATAGCAGCGTAAAATAGCAACTTAACACTGATGTGTTTCGTACGGAGAGTGTACAGATATGAAGACCCTTTTTTACCGGAAACGAGGCATTCCATCTTAGTCCTCAGGGGTGAAAACCCATCTGCGTTTTGATACTTAATCAAGGATAAATATCGATATCTGTGGCGGATTAGTAAGCTAAAGTGGCAATGGGCCGGCCATATAGCTCGAAGAACCGACAACCGTTGAGGAAAAAAGGTTCTCGAGTGGCAGCCTCGTACCGGTGTACGCCCCTTCACTAGATGGAGTGACGACCTGGTAAGACATGTAGGAAGTCGATGGATGCAGGTGGCTCAGGACCGTGCGTTGTGGCGTACCTTGGGGGAGGCCTACGTTCAACAGTGGACTTGTGAAGGGCTGTAATGATGATGATGATGATGATGATGATGATGATGATGATGATGGGCCACAGCGTCCACTTACTATCAGGTGGACTGTGCGTTCGTTTGTCACCGTTATTCTATTTAAAAAATGATATGTTGCCGTGCAGTGGCGGCGTAAGAGAACTTCTCTTCACTTCTCACTTCTCAATATCGTCCCGTGGGTACCAAGAGGAGGCAGAAGGAAATAAAACCGGTAGTGGGCAGTAGCATCTTCGTGATAACAATTTTGAATAATAAATAAGAAACTGCGGCCGCCGACCCGCAGTTGCCTATTTTGTACGTCTCTGTTTGTAACTATCTGCTTTTAATACTTTTGTATTGTTACTTTAAAGATGTAAGATTTTCTTCTGTTTGTACTAAGTATAAGCTTAATTATACAATAATAACAAATAGTAATAAAAAATATTATTGTGAAAGTGTTAGATCTTCCGTGGCATAACCACTGTTCAGATTTATAATCGCAGCACGGCTCGACATGGGGAAGGGATCACGCCCGCTCAGAATATCAGCAGAATACCAAATAGCGGTTTATTGCTACCGTGTTTTGCATGGTAAGTAAAAAACCGGAGAACCTTTTTAGTAACGAGGCATGCTAAGTGCTCAGGAGTGATAACCCATTTGATATTATAATTTTTGAATCATAAACGAGGACAGACGTAGATGTCTATGGGCCATAGCCTCCACTTCACCATCGGGTGAATTATGTGCTGGTTTGTCAATCTTACCTTATATCCTACAAAATAAAGTAAACCGCCCCTTTATTACGCTTAATCTATCGAGAAGCCCAATAGATTTTTTCTATGGACGTGATTATGAAGAACAGACATTTTATTGATAATAAGATGTTGTACATAGACACATAAATCCTCGCTTAAGGACCAAAGTGCATACGCTTTGTCAACCCAAAGGACAAACAGTGCTTTGCCAGTAAAAAGTGTGTTAGGTTTTAATCAATAATCGTATGAAATACACCAATATTACGTTCACGAAAGTCCTTATATAATGCTGCTATTTTTTTATAGGATAGGGTGACAAACGAGCACACAGTCCACCTGATGTTAAGTGGCTGCTGTGGTATATAGACATCTACATCTATCCTCGATTACGAATCAAAATACAAATGCGTTGTCCGTTGTCCCGTCCCGTGAGGACTACGAATGCCTCGATTCCAGTAAAAAGGTTCCCCGGTTCTCTATACTCACCATACGAAACACAGCAGCATTAAGCTGCTATTTTACGCTGGTATTCTGTGAGAGCGTGGTCCTTCCCCGGTTGAGCTGACACATTCGTGTTATAACTATACTACTAATATAACTGCAACATGCTTCGATCAATTATATAGATCGAAGGCAGCATGGCTCTACCACCTATATTTAAGCCAACCCCTTCATCCCGTAGTCATAATACAGCTGCAAAATCCTCCAATAGGTATGTGGATCGTACCAACCCGGACGAAGTTCTAGGCAGAAAAGAACCACCGCATAATTTCTTGATTTTTTTTAATATGATTCGGAGCAATCGAGCATGCGGCTCACTTGATAAGTGACTACCGCCGCCCATAAGCAACTCAACACCAGGGGTATTGCAGGTGCGTTGCCGGTTTAAATAAGAGTAGGCTATTTATCAGCGTGTTAAAGTCCCTTGCTGAACATGGTGTTTTTCCGTTCTGGTGAGGATTTACCTTAATAACCTTGGCACGCAGTGAGACAGTCGCAGCACCAGACAGCTCTCGCTCTTTGATGTTGCTTCTCGTCACCGGTCTGAATATTTCACGCCTGGTGTAAAGAGATGGTTAAATCCCCATCTATTTAAAACCATAATATCTTACTGACATTAAGCCTATTACTAGCACTAAGCAAAGTTGTAGTCGATTCAAAAGAATACTAACATAGCATTCAACCCAATCGAATCCTTCACATTTTACTTCGGGTATCTCCTTACTAAACTTCATCACTTCCTCAGAGAAGGGGTCAATTTCAGGAAACTGACATCCCAGTCCGTTTCTCCCTTCCTCCACGATGCTCTGTTGTAGCTTTATTTGCACTTGGCTGTTACACATTTTTAAAGGAAATGTTAGAAATTATTTCACATCATCATCTTCATCATTAACATCAATAGTCAATATTTTAATCTATTTAATTAATCACTTTACACACAAAACTTTTGTTGAGTACATTATTATTATATACAGGCTGTTAGTGTAAACACCGTTATCCTTGAAACCAGTGGTTTGGGTTCACTTATAGAACGGTAAATTCAATGAAAAATAACAACATTTTTTTTAGTAAAATCTCAATTTTTCCTTAGGTAATTCCTCAATTTTTGCCTGTCCTAAGCCAGGATGAAAGTATGAAGGAAAATTTACATCACAGGTTATGTGTACCTATTGTGTTTTTATTGGAATGTAGTATAGGTAACTAGCGCGGGCGGTGATCTTTACAGTGATTACGTCACTTGGGCGCATAGGGTATCCATGAATTTTCGGACGGTGTCGGACAGAAACTTTTTAAATTTTATGAAAGAAAATAGCGTTTTCTTTTAAAATTCATTGAATTTACGTTCTATAAGTGAAACCAAACCACTGGTTTCAAGGATAACTGTGATTACACTAACATCCTGTATATTACATTACTTGAGACCCGCCTCGGCTTCGCTTGTATAGGGTTACATGGTAACGATAATAGACTCTATACTGGATGACCTTTTTGTGTTAGTATGTTGAACCCTATTTTTTTCCAGACGGTAAAAAAGGTCATCCGGTATATTAAAGTCCACTGCTGAACAAAGGCTACCCCCGCTTAATTCTATACATAACACGGTATCGAGCCACCTGCATCTGTCGATTTCCTGCACATCTCTGAAGTCGTTATTCCATGTAGTCGGTGTACTGCCTATTTAAACATAAAAAATTATGCGGCGGAAGCAATATCCTATTATACATACCTACACATTTAATATTTTTATCATATCATCATTACATCCTTTCATAAGTCCACTGATTAACATAGGGCCCCTAAGCAACCCCCCCCGAACGGGTTCCCGCCTTGTCGTGGCGGGGGGCTTAGTAGCCGTGGCTTGGTCTCCCACGGTGAACAAAGAGGAACCCACGTGGCTGGCCCGAGGTGAAGGGCCGGCCTGAGGTGGCCACTCCGAGTGGGCTTGGGGAGCCCACTTCGGATGTGTGCTGGTGGACTGCAGCGAGTGGGGACTCCGCACCCTCTACCGCTGCAGCCGAGGTGGAGTCGCGGAGGAAGAGGAGTGTTGGTATGGCGATGCGCCACTCGCCCTATCCTCCGCGACTCAAACGGGACCGCACCGTTGATGCGGTGGTGATGGGGCTGCGGGGGGAGAGGATTGTCGGTATTGCGAGACGCCGCTCTCCCTATCCTCCGCAGCCGAATCTTGGTTGGCGGCGGAGCCATAGACCAGATCCGCCGCTGGGGTCGGGAAGGCTAGTACTTCTAAGTGCTCGTTTTTCCTGGCCCCATGGCCTTCGCGCATCGGACGCGGGGGGCGTATGTTGCGCAGATGCAATTGGAGGCCGTGGAGGAAGGTGTGCCATGTGTTCTGGTGCGCCTTACTTGGGAAGGAGAACGGGGAGGAATATTCCTCTCCCGAGGAGGTGCTGCCATGGGGCGGCAGTCGCTGGTAGGGCCGCGGAAGTGTGCGAAAGCGTTCCCGTAGCCCTGCCAATATGCGACGAAGGTGGAACACCATTGGGTTTTAGTCGGTGCGAGTCCGACATAACCCGTCCTTGCCCCCGCGAGGTGGGTATGCGTAGGCATTTCCCCATGTTAAAAAAAGGGCCCCTAAGCAAAGCCACAAAGCACGGTCCTAAGCCACCTGCATCTCTTACCACGACCTGGGTAAGAGATGCAAGTGGCTCAGGTCTCTTACCATCTAGTGGGGGCACGGCGCGTCCTACACTTTGCCTACCGGTACGAGGCTGCCACTCAAGAACCTTTCTTTCCCATCGGTAGAGCTATATGGCTGGCCCATTACCACTTCAGCTTACTTATCCGTTAGGCCCGGTTTACATTTTGAGAAGTGACAATCAAACAACAAAACAATAGTGCGTGTGAACAGGCAGTGCCAAGTGATAAGTGGGAATAAAATACGCACTTGTCACTTCCCATTTGCCACTTGTCAGTTGTCACTCGCACTTGTCACTTCTCATTTGCCACTTGTCAGTTGTCACTCGCACTTGTCACTTCTCAAAATGTAAACGGAGCCTTAGGCTATATCAGTTATTTTGGTTCTACTATTTATTCTTTTATTTAATATCAATTGTAGTGCCTTATTCGTGTGAATCGTGTCCGATGTAACACTGGTGGTTATATACTCTGTGGCCAAAATACTATTAGCACCATCTAGCTTATGACAAGTAAAACATTTAAAAAATTGTTATCTAATTTTAAAGTTCTTGAACATACAATGTGTTTTGCAAAATCGTTACCCACGACTGGCATGCGACCCGAATATCTGACTCACAGGTTTCGTTAGAGTAGCCATACTCCGACTACTGACCATTCGTTTAAAGTTAAAAGTTCTAAAAGTTGACTAACCGACGTGACGCGTGGCGGTTAGGGTAGATCTTGACTGTATCATGCATCAATGTAAAGTAGATGGAAACCAAAGAAAACGCCGTTAAAAACCCCACGGCATACAGCTTGTGCTTGTTCCGCAAACGAAACTTCATCAGCATTTCAATCAACTAAAACGAATTATAAGAATTTATCTGATGAAGATTTAAGGTTGACTCACGCTAGACCATGTTGGGTCCGAGCCGAGTGTCGGCCGTAGCACGGTCAACTAATATTACATATATTTTATAGGGACACACTAACGCTATACCGAGCGGCAACCGAGTGAGGGCCGAGCAACGGACAACGCTCGGAAAAAACTCGGCCCCGGCTTGGAGTTGAAGATTTATCAGATTCTTCATCGTCCAGAGCGATCGCAATAGCCACTGATTCCAGATCGTCAAACTTCAACATGATTGTAGTCTAGTTCATCATCATCATTATCATCATCATTACAGCCCTTCACAAGTCCACTGCTGAACATAGGCCTCCCCCAAGTAATGCCACAAAGCACGGTCCTGAGCCACCTGCATCCATCGACTTCCTGCATGTCTTACGAGGTCGTGACTCCATCTAGTGGGGGGTCGCCCTACACTACGCATACCGGTACGAGGCTGCCACTCGAGAACCTTTCTTTCCCATCGGTTATCGGTTCTTCGAGCTATATGGCCTGCCCAATGCCACTTCAGCTTACTAATCCGTTGGGCTAGCCGTGTCGATCACTCTGGTTTTACAGCGGATATCCTCATTTCTGAGTCTATCACGCAGAGAAACTCCGAGCATAGCCCTCTCCATAACTCGCTGAGCGACCTTGAGCGTCCTCATACGGCCAGCAGTAAAGGACCACGTCTCAGATCCGTAAGTCATCACTGGCAAAACGCACTGGTTATACACTTTATTTTTCAGAGATTAAGGTATACCCGACGAGAAGATGTGTCGTAATTTCCCGAACGCTGCCCAACCGAGTTGAATCCGTCGATTGACCTCTCGGTCGAAGTTGGACTTACCTAGTCGAACTATTTAGCTCCGGTAAACGTGCTCATCAACAACTTCGAGATTAGTGCTCCCAACAACTACCGGCATAGGTGTGACATGGACACTACACATGACTTTTGTTTTGTCCATGTTCATCTTAAGACCTATCCGTTGGGAGACACCATTGAGGTCATTGAGCATAGTGCTAAGGCCCTCCAGCGATTCTGCCATAAGGACTATATCGTCGGCAATACCGTAATACCGTATCGTCGGTAATACCGTATCCTTTCCAGTCCAGTAGCTTGACAACGTCTTCCAACGCAGCAGTTAAGAGTTTCGGGGATATAACATCACCCTGTCTTACACCTCTCTGCAGTTGGATAGGTTTCGAACTCTGGTTCTGTACTCGGATAGCCATCGTAGCCCTACTGTACAAACACTTCAGCACTTCGATATACCGACAGTCAACTTGGCACCGCTGAGGGGACTGTAGTACCGCCCAAATTTGGACGGAATCAAAGGCTTTCTCATAGTCCACATATGCCAGGCAAAGTGGCAGATTGTACTCTTCGGTCTTTTGTACAATCTGCCGCAGGGTATGTATGTGGTCTATGATACTGAAGCCTTTTCGGAAACCGGCTTGTCCTTCCACACCGGCGCCCTGACGTCACATAGCGCCGACGTTCGACAGCTACAACCGACTGACCCACAGAGATTGTCGCGGTGGACAAACGATTTCCGTCACGTCGTCTTGATTTCGGCCAAAAATAATCTCGTTCTCGTTGACGTCTCGGTGACGGCGGCGGTGGACAATCACTCTAAGTGTGTCAAACGAACACACTGTCCAACTGATTCTAAGTGGATACTTAGATGTCTGCATCTATCCCCGAATAAGAATCAAATAAAATATAAAATAGATGTGTCGACAACCCTGAAAACTAAGATGGAATGTGTCTCCTGTTCTTTACACTTACCGTACGAAACATTGCAGTATTAAGCTATTTTTACGCTGGTATTACGGTGGAAGCATGGTATTTACCCGGTCGAGTCGACCCACTCGTGCTACAACCATATTATAGCTGAAGCGTGGCTTTAACGAGACAAAAACCGAGAGACGTAAATCTTAAAATTAATTATTTATTAAAACTTTACAGTGTAAATATATAATTCATTGACAACTCGAACACGGCGCCAACTATTGAGTCATTTTCTTTTTTGGTACTATTCCTACATTATTTTATTAGCAGTTGCTTAAAATATAGGAACTGTAGGAATAAGCAACGTTCTTACGACTGCTATGGAGCTTGGCGCACGTTTAAATATCAGCTTGCTACATAATATTTATCAACCTGAGACACTAGGGATGCATTCAATAACGACACCGATACCGATATAATGGCGACACTTTGTGTTTGTCTAAAAATTTAAGTAGTAGTAATAGACTGGACATCAGCAACAAAATGGTCATCCGTTACTTTTGTCCTATAGGATATATTTCATA